TTTATGTTCCCACGCACAATTTTGTTATTTCATATATGTTCAAGTACCTGATTTATTTCTTTGTGTACCATCGACTATTTGCCCTTTGAAGACCTATTGAACTATAGCATTTCCCTGGATGAAACTTTGAACTTTGCCTTGAATGATGGACAACATCTGCTGTCACAAATGCGTTTATCAGACTTGGTAATAAATAATCATCCTACACTCAATGTATTTATTTTCTAAGGTTTCCGCCGGCTTCGCACAAAATTAAATTCCAGCTATTCTTTTGAATATTTGTCATACAATAATTCGTTGGCTTTCCGAGGAAGCCCTCAAACTTGATCCGTTGTTGGCATGTGCCAGAGTTTTAAGGCCTATTCGTTGGCCAGGAAGGCAAGAAAAAGGCGCCGAAACTTGCAAAGCTCAGTTCAGAGACAACGCGGCAGATTACGGCTCGCTGATTTATTTTCCGTTTGGGTGTTTCTTCACTTTCCCTGCCTGCAGCTGTCAGGTCGTAGGCTTTCTCCTGGCCCGACAGTCGAAATATATTTTTAATATTTTCATTTCCCAATAAGACGGCATCCTGGCTGTCTGACAGATGATGTTTCCTTCCTTTCCGTCCCCAAAGACAAGAATTTCAAAGGGAAGGTGGCCTTTTCGTGGGTGGCCATGCCAATCATGACGCGGATGACGCGCCAAAGAGTTTTCATTTATTTGGCTCGCATTTGACACTTTAACCGCCCGGCAATATAAAAGTTTTCTAATAGAACCGCCGCTGACCGGCGGAACGTAACCTTTCGGGACGCTTTTAGATTATTCACCCCGACATTTCCACTCGGCTTAACCTTCATGACCCGTCCCACTGCGGTCTCACTTGATTCGCACAATTACACAACAAGTCCGACCGCCAAAGGACCGCCCACTGCCAACCAATTTATTGGCAGCTGACCAGTGGCCAGAAAAAAAGGAAACTTTATATGGATTCGGTGGCAGATTTAAGGACGTAACACGCACGCAAAAAGGGAACTGTTTAGTTTAACTCTGTGTAAATTACACAAAAATAAAATCATAATAATAGAAAGATTGTAGTTATTACATATTAGAATTATTTGTATATGTTTTTCTAAAGTATAAGTTAAGGCTGCTTGAATATATATCAGACTAGCACTTTGCAGTTTGTGAAAATGTTGTACATACATATTGTTCTTTGAATTTTTCTGTGTAGAAATTGAACTTCCTGCTTAGCTTGCACTTCCGCTCGAAGTTGTTTTTAACACAAGACAAGGAAAAGTGGAAAATTGACTTTACGGCAAAATTCACAAATTTTCACATTCGGCTTTGCTTGGCGCTATTGCATTTCAAGAGGCAGCTGTTGAGTATCTGAATTTTGCTTATTTGCTTTATTTTTGTGGGCCAAGAAAACTGGAGTTCTTGGAAATGTCTGCACTTGCGACAGCTCGTGCCAGATTCAAATTGGCTTAACGCACTTTCCACTTGCAAGGCTCCTTTGAGGACCGTAGAATGAAGCACATGAAGCAGAAGTTCCATAACTGCCACAACCATGTGGCAAGCTAGATGGATAACTGGAGGACTTACTACGGCTTCCGCATCTGCGGCCCGTGACAGGTGGAAATTGATTTAAAATTGACAATCAGTCGCAAACTAATATATACGGCATTTGCAATTGAAAAACAAAGAACGAATTTATTTATAAAAAATGACGATGGAAATGAATATGCATTTTTCATTGTTTTGCATAGGCATGGAATTGAAATTTGTGCATTATTTATTCTGTACAAGCTGGCCAACTTCTAATTTAATTTGAATATAAAATTGTACACTACTATTGCTGAAAGTTCGCTTGCCAACTAGATACCTTGTGGAAATTTCTAAAGTAATCATCAATTAGGTGGGGTTTTAAATAACCTGAACAATTATATTATTAGGAAAAAGAAAACGGTATTCAAATATCCTCAACTATTTTGTCTTGAAAAATCCCTTTGACTTGGCCTTTTATTTCTAATATAAAGACAGCAAGGTTTTTTAACATAGTCTAACTCAGTAAACTCCAATGCACTTAAATATTCTGGTGTCTGACATTTACGTGAACTGTAGAGGAGTCTCTGCTAAGCGGTTTACCTTTGACCTCTTTGGAAAAGGCAGTCACTGTACCCACTTTTGATTGAGCACTCTGGTCAACGTGGTTATCAGTGGGGGTTTTTTTTCCAAATATCCTTCTGCAGGACCTGAGCCTTGCCAAGTGCTCCATCATAGTCGGTGCTCAGGAGGCAGGATTCCAAGCCCAGGGATGACTCATCCAATCCGCAGTGACCTTTCCGCATGGCTGCCCCTGATCTGGCAGCCCCACTTGAATGCTAGTGGTAATAAATTCAAATCGAAATCAAATACAATAAAAACTTGGCCCATCAACAGAACTTGTCCTCGAATAATAATGACTAAAAAATGAAAAACCATCTGGCTGACTACTTGTCCAAAATTAAATGTCTGACTATACGGTCTGCCATAAAGTGCCGACTATCATAAACAATAACACAGCAAATAAATAAGGCATTTGCTATTATAAATCCTCCATGCGACTTCATGTCCTTTGTGCTGCTGCAAATGGCGGCCATTTGCATAAATGAGGGACCAAGGAGCAGCTACGTCATTGTTTGCAGTGCGTCTGAAAAGTTTTCGCCACCTCCGCGGCTACAAAAGCACAGAAGGTTCACATTTTAGTTTTATCTTGACGACGCCATCGCCCAAACTCCAGACATTAGCACTAATATGCATAAATATGTCTGTGCAAGGTACGTAGGTATAATTTTTATGTTTATAACATCCCCCAGGACACTTTGAATATTATACAAGTGACGACGGCGATACGAGCTCTGGGTTTTGAGTTACCCTGTTGGCTTTTGGTACTTTAAGTTCCTGTAAGCCAATTAAGTTGGTAGGTGTTGCCGAAGACGTGTTCAGCCTTAATTAACCTTTGAATTAAATTGAGTCGTTTACATTTGAATCAATTGTTTCAGGGCTTCAGCAATTTTCAGATTTTTGCTAATAGTTTAGCTTACTTTACCTTAAAAGTAGAATTTTTCTAAGCAGTAGCTAGCATATATAGTTAATTTACCTTGCGATTACCTATATGCTACATTTAAATGCAAAAGAATTTTCGACATTAAATGAATTCGGCTGGTATTCCAGCTGTATCCCCCATTTTTACAGGTAAACCAGGAGAGAGTGGCGCGTGGCCATTCGCATGTCGCAATGGCACTTGACCCAGAAATAACCCGGATTGACCTCCCAGCTGATGGGCAGCTGGTGCCACACGCGCCGCTCTTATCAAGCGGCAAATGACAGTTTTATGATGCGGCCTCTTATCAACCGCTGCATTACTGCGCTGCGACCTTTGGTGGCTTATCAACGAAGGCTTACTACCTTGTTGTGGGCGAGTCCTGTGGGACTGTGCCTGTGGCGCCGACGGAAGCGGATGTGGCTCAGCTTACCCCAGCTAACGGCGTGTCCTTTGACGGCCAGCAAGTTGGCCATAAATCAGCTACAAGTTTTGACGGAAATCCAAGACGTCGGGAGCCCCGCAGCGGGAAAGTCACTAGCTCCAAAAGGGTTTCCGCTGGGAGAAAAGCCTCCAATGAGCTGGGAAACTTAAGCTGTATGCCTGAGATGGGCGGGAAAAATTATCCGGAATTTATTTTTATGAAACTGCAATTACCAGAAGTGGCCCATAACAATTACAAGGATGTTTAGTTTAGGGAGTGCCGTCAAGAAGACGAAGAGATTGTGTTTAAAGTTTCCTGTGAACGTTCTTGGGTTGTGGTAAGATAGGGTACGAAATATCTCAATCTAGTTGTTCAGTTTTTAGCACTAGTATATTTAAATTTAATTAGTACATATGTAATATTATTAATAATTTAGACAGCATTTAGGATTTTTAAAGTCATATTTAAGTCATCATATGCAGCCAGCGCGAATGCCAAGTGAATAATTCACAAGCCCTTAGAAATCGAAAAAACATTTTCACATAAATAAATAAATAGAGCACAAGTGGCGTTGCATATCGAGTTCAAGCGAAAACTTAAACCCTGTGACCACAATATTTTTTGTACGCTTAGCTTTGGTCTAGTTTTATTTACCTTTGACTGGGACAACTTGGCATGTGTGTGGGCGGGACTCAACCGGAACTATATATACATAGTTCACCCGCAGGACCGAAGCCATTTTCGAGCCGAACAATCAGCACCTACATCGCACAATTCTGTGAGTCACCCGCTGGGAGGCTTCTGGGTTCTGGCTTTTGGCCCTTTTGTGCCTCCACATTTTGGCCTTCCGCCACGAGTTGGCAGTAGGAAAAATGGCAAACGGATGTTGTGCGCAACGAGCCGAGTCATGACATTTGCATAACAAATTCCATTTAACCCCCACCATGATTTTCCTTCTTTTCGCCTGGCCCAAAACATGAAAACATGTTTATTTTAGATAATTTCTTTCCATTCCGCCCGCATTCATGCGCTCCATCATAATTATGTGTCACAAATAGCGGGAACTCATCCATTCCCTCTTCATTATTCAATCATTTGCTGCCTGTGTGCGAATTTATTGAGGCTTTAGAGAACGAAAATTGATGTATTCCGGCCGGGATTGAGGTGAGGAATCAATAAGGGAGGCTTGGGGCATGTTCAATTCATCGTTAAATCAAATCAGTGGTACATTACACGACCGCTCACGCTCCAGCGGAATTTTCGACCTTTAAACAGTGGGCGGAAACATCATGAGATTAAATCAAAACAAATTCCAACAGCGAATACCATTGAATTCCAATTGAAGGGAAATACTCCTGCCAATATATATCCTATATCGAAAAAATATGAAGGTATTATACACAATGTCTTAATGCGCCTTTCGACCATCAAGTGAACAGCCAAGAAAGCAAGTGACTTACAGCTTTCCCATTTTCCCAACATAATTTGTCAGCTGAGCGAAGAAATTCAACTAAGTCGGCTATAATTTGTTTATTTCCTGCAGGTAATACAATCGCAGGGGTGATGTGCTATAAAAAGGCACAGCGACAGGTGTTTTTGACGTGGCCCTCTTGTCGTATACGTGATGGGATTGCCGGTTTTTCGCACTGGTTTTCGCTGTTGGTTAAAAGCCGCTCGGCCAGATACCCAGACTTTAATTCAATTAGCAAAAGGGTTCAGAGGCGAACACGTGCCTGTGAAGTAGGTGACAGTTTCTGGCCCACTTCTGAGCAGAGAACATTGGCTAATCCTCGCGAAGGAGATTGGATTCCTCTGGTTTTTCGGTGAAATCGCAGCGCAGATCAGCGACCTTGGCAATGATGTCGGTTTGGAGCTCCTCGAAGGGGCGAAGCAGGCGGACGGGTTCAGTGTCATCACGACCTTGAAAAAGGGTTTCCCCGCTAAAGTCTACGAATCCATACTTTCGAGCACCCAACAGCGTGGCAAGCAACTTGTCGGATATATTGTTGTAGGTTTCAAATAGCTGACCGAAAGCTAGTACTCTTCTGCCATCAATAGGATCAACGCGACCGGATTTCTGAATTATATCGCACAGTTGGAGGATCTCCTCCAGAGCACGGACACTGGCCTGCAAGGATCTCTGCTCGGAAAGACTGCCCGTCGGAGCTCGGCCGTATTCGTCCTTTGAAAAAGTCCTCTTCGGAATCTCACTCACATTGTAATGGGCGAAGGGGTTTATCATCATCCAGTTTTTATGCTGTTCAGCTTGCTGGTTAAACAGCGTGATGCGTGACGACACCGACGAGTCCTGCAGGGATTCCTTTTTGAGGGTCAAAGATAATTGGTGCATCCACACTCACCTGATTTTCAGCCATTTTATAATTATGCTGGAAATTTGAACGGTTGTTTGCCGAAAAAGTTTGTGGCTACAGACCACAGTCAAGCCTACTGTGTGTCCAGCTGGGAAGCAAACATTTCAGCCAGGTGTCAAAAGTATGGATAACTCGGCTATTTTGGCTATGAAAATATTATTACCCTGCATATTTATATGGTAACTTATGGTATGGTAACTTACTTAAATAGTGTGAAATGCAGTTTATTTGTTATTATAGTTTACAACAGAGCCTTTAGCTTGTAGCCTTTAACATAAAGTGATAACTTGCCATTTTAAAGGCTACGGTTCACCACTGATACAGCACGGTGGATACTTATTGCGTTCAATCAAGTCACCACTGATTGTTCGTGCCACATGGATGCAAGCACATGCATCTCATTAGGGAGCGCTTGAGTCCCAAGCCGCATCAAAGGATTCAGATCGAGGCGCAAGTTTGCCCAGGGATAATCAATCAAAGTGTCGCCTTAAATACTTACCCCCCCTGGAGATCCACACCCACATCCGATTCCGCATTCAGGTCCACCCACTCGCTGGATTTTAGTGCAGCCTTAAGCGAACTCCACAGGCTGTGGCAGCCATGTGGCAAATGCGGCGGAAACAGCTCGCAAACTAGCTCCATAAATTTAAGCCTCAAATGGCGCGCAAGTCGCCGGAAGTATTTGGAGCTCAGTGCAGCCGGAAATACAAAACAAATTTTCCAGAAGCAGAGAGACCGAGTGGTAGCGAAAAAACAAGAATGGCGGGAAATTAATGAAACAAAACGAGGAATTGAAAGCTACGAGATAATAAAAGCTAATCTGCTATAGCTCAAGTCGAGAGTTTAATATGCTTTTAATTCCATCAGAATGCAAAATGGAAAATGCCATCTACACTCGAATTTATGCTTCATTCACTAAATTCATTTTCAATAACGGAAATAAAGGCCTTTAGGTATAAATAAGTAAACAAAAATTCGAAATACAAAATGGTAACTTGAAGTGCTGTTGGGATTACCATTAGTTAAAGCCAGCAAGATTGTGGCCCCAAGCAAAACCAATAAAATCTATAATACCCTCCCTCGGGAGCCTCCAATTAAATTCTGTCACACAATCTGCCAATCCAATTATTTTCTTTCCGAGGGCCTGAACCAATAGTTCCGACGAATGAGCATTAAGTTAAATCACGCTTTAAGCGAGGACTTTCCTCGAAGGGTATCAAAACTGTTTTCCGGCGGTTTTTCTGTTTCAGTTCCCTTTCGCATTGGGGGAAAAGCGTGGAAAGAGCAGGGTGGATAAGAAACAAAACAGACAAATGGCAAAATGGCGCCACTTCCACATCCGCTAAGCAATAAACATTAATGCGCAATTAATGCTGGTGTCAGACGTTGACTTTGGTTAGTGGTGTTGGCTGGGTGTTTCCTGGACTTTCCACCAGCTTTTCCCCTGATTTTCTCCCTAATTTCGGCACAGGTCCGTTGTCTGTTCTTGATTTCCTCCACTTGCTGTGATTAACGTTTGGCGCCTCTTCTTAGCATTTAGCCTTTAGTTATTTATGGCTCGGCATGACAAATGAAATCAAGTGGGCACAGGGCAAACTCAATGCAAAGCTGCTTATTTCTGCCAGTCCAGAACAGCGACTTTCCACAGCTTTGAAGTCTGTGTTTGCCCGCCCAACCACTTCCCAAATGCCGGAGCAACCAAAGGAAATATTTGTAGAGCTGCTTACCAACCAATGATACGGTATTTTTCAAAGGTTCGAGCGGCGACAGCTGTTCATTAGAGGTGGGATGTGAAACCATACCAAATTAGAAGTAGAGTATTGCTTTCCTATTTTTATTCATTCTTGATTTAGCCCTACACTAGTGAAACCACAGAGCCACTTCTTCAGATACATGTTTTCTTCAAGCTGAAAAAGCTGAAAGCACTTGTCCCCTAAAAGTGAATCCTTTCTCATCACTAGTTGTAACTAAGCCCCGACATCTGTCAGAGCGACAATATGCTGGCACTTCCGCCATTTCGCCATATGTTTTGTTATACCCCACCGATTTCCAGTTGCATTTTCCGACCGAAGGAGTGACAGTGGCAGTTTGGCAAGCCCCGCCCCTTTGTCAAGAGGCACTTAAGATGCGACCATGTCTGCATATGGCCCCTAAGAATTTATGTGTTGTTTGTATTGGCCCCCAGAAAATGCCCGACGCATTATTCAATTTGGAGCCGTCAGTAATGTAAAACAATTTTCCGCAAATGCAACAAAAATAAAAAAGAAGAGAAGAAAGAAATAAGGGAAAACTGTCTTGGCTGGCTGAATTTTATGTGTGGCACGTTTGGCAATAAATTTTCAGGGTTGAGCATTGGATTTACAAATTGCTGCCTAATTCGCCGTTTTCATTGAGCGAGAGACAAATTTATATGGTCTGCGGTTAACACCTGTTTCTTGTTTACTTTCAAAGGACCCTCAACGTGTTTAATATCCACCGATCATCGCTCGAGGTTTCAACTTCGTTTTTCGCTGCGCATATATCCTTTCTCTAACCCATTTCATTGCTAGCCAAAACGAAGACAAAGCTTTTCGACTTGGCCCTCAAAATTTGTGTCATTTATAACTTTCGGCCCAAACGACAAAGCGATTTATTTTGTGTTTTCCTTCGGTCTGGCTCCAGTCAAAGTTTGATAAATGAACGCATTTCGCTTCGGATTTTCCTTTTGCATACGAGAAACCCAAAGGGGACATCTGGTAGTTGCATTTTTTCAGCTTCATTTGGCAGCTGCCAGGGTCTCGTTTATGCTCTTTTTGGCCTAGTCAGTCATAATCAGAGCGTTTAATATCACCGATGTGCAGTGAACGGTCGCCGAAAATCAAATCAACTTTTGCCGGGGCAACAGACAGCTGATGACCTCGAAAAAAAACGAAAACCCAATCGTAATAAAACAAACTGCGATCACAAAAAATAAGTCAAGTCAACATGAAGTGGGGAAGAAAGGGGGAAGCATTGCCTCAATGTTTTTATGTCCTCTTGTTGTGATAGCTCTAGTTTTTTCCCCCAAAAATATGCAACAGCCGGTGCCAGAAATAAGTGTGTGTGGGTGATGCACTGCAAAAAAATAAAACATTAACAGGGACGTACGTTAAATAGTTTCTTGTGATTTCTTGTTGAGCTCGTTATTTTTTTTTTAATTTTTCGTATTTCTTTGCTTTGTTTTCCAGGTAATACGAATAAATCTTTTTAAAAAACCAAGCCAAATTGCTGTGGAATTTTCTCTCTCTGCTTAGTGTATGTGCCCGGGAGCATGAAAAATTGCAAGTCTGTTTCATTGATTTGATTGACACTTTTATTGACATAGTGTTGGCCTTGTTGTTGCCAAGGGTTTTATGACCTGCCAATGAACGCAAAAGCCTTTAAGCCAATCGGCAGAATCGAATGAGCTTATATACGGGTAGTTTTCAGCTTTTGAAACACTTCAGCTGTAAACCCATCCATACAGAAATTTGTATATGCGTTTTTATATTTTTATGGCCCATCACGACTTGACTCTTTTAATACTTTACATCAATTCGAATTAGGAAATGGCAATAAAAACCTGCAAAAAAATATTATGGCCAAAGCAAATGAGGGGTAATTCATCCGTTTAATATTTAATATATTTTTTACCAGCCAAAATGTATGATAAATTATGTAAAGTATGCCATCTAGCTTGAAGTATTAATGTTCGAATTTAATGACTATTTTGTATTTAAATAAAAGCAGGTCATGGGGAGTAAACATAAATAATGTGGAAATCCTTTTCGCCCATATTTGTTTTATATCTTAAACCTCTATTTTAGCAAGTTTAAACGGAAAATACGTGTGGTATCAAACACTTTTAAGCTCCTTAAGCTAAGTTGAAATGGCTTAGGCTACACTAACTTTTTTGTTTCAGCTTATTAAAAACGTCATACACCAGGCCATATTGAATTCCTGCAATCCAGCACTAATATTGCGACCAGCAGCAAGTAAAATGTCGGTCTAGCTATGAATTTTCATGGCCGCAACTTTGGCTTTTTATGCGTGCCACCGGAACAATGGCTTACCAAGGCCAGCAAAAGTGGCCGTAAAATATGACATTTGCTGGCCTTTGGTTTGCACTGGGCCAACGGATCTGTGTGGCTATAATTCCAGGGCTAAAAGAAGGGGCTCTGCAATCGGCTGGCAATTAATCAGGCTTCATTTGCACTTAATCGCGGCCATGATTTGCACGCAACTGTGACCCAATCATGTGGCCATTGGATTCCATTATAACTGGCAGCCGCATATTCAATTTAATTTTCATTAGCCTAGTGCCATGCGGTCATCGACGAGCCACAAATTATTTTTGGCTTGGCGTAGGGAAATGGGAATGAAACTCATTTTAATATGCGTTGCCCAGCAACGCCATTTTCCTAGAACCTCGTACCGCGAACTTAATTACATATTTAAATTCCTACTGCGCCGCCTCTAAACGGCCAAGAAATAGCAGCTAAAATAACAGCCCAGAAAATATTATGGATATTCTGGGGCCCGACTTGCAGGCCGTAGTTATGAGATACCATAAACAACATGACGTCAAAATAAGCTGAGAAAAGCTGAGTCCTTTGAAGTTTAGGCCTTGAAAAACTTTCAAAATAGTCTACTAATAATAATATGTTTTAAGATGTGTATTGTTTTCTAGTTATATATAACACAGACTCCAAAACCATTATATAGTAAGTATATGTGTTGTAATTATATAGTAAATGTCTTTAGCCGCAGTTATCAATTTATGATTCGAAATCAAAAGTGTCATGTTAGTTCATCCATAAGATAAGTCAATTATCAATTATTCAATTAGTAACACAATTGTACTAAATTCAAGGTTACCCTTTCAGGTAGGGTAAATCATGCTCAAGGTCATGCCAACTGTAACTCTTAAGTGGCTATCAACTGGTCTCATTCAAAATAATAAAAAAAAGTCATAATTTATTGTTATGTAACTGAGCCACAAATGAATTTCAAGCAGCTTCTAGTAATATTAGTAATATTCTAGAACACGATGACATAAGATTTTTAGGAGGAAAAAACTTTTTAAGCTT